GATATTCCCCCCAGGGGTGCATAGTAGCATATTGACTCTGAACATTTTTTGAAAGTATTTGATTTTTCGTTCATATTTAACTAATGGCTAGTTTGGATCAAAATTAAAGTTTTTATTTATTTTCTCTGCACCTCTCGTAGACATTGCTACACGTCCTTGTGCGTTTAGAGTTGTAAACAAGATGTGTAATGTGAATCTGATTCTTGCTTCTTTTGTGCCATTGTCCTTCTCTGGAAACTTATTTTTCTCACTTACTGTACAGCTCAGAAATCTGACTAGGAGTAATGAAAGCATGCCATCCCAATGCTCAGGGGCTGTTTGGGGTCCAGGAGTGTACAACCCGAGGCCCACGGGCTGCATGCAGATTGTTTGAGTGTTGTTTTGCTGATCTGTCGAATATCTCAAGAAGTATACACGGACCTTTTCTTTTGCTCATTAGCTTTAGTGTTTGTGTATTTCATATGTGGTCCAAGATAAACACTGTTTCTTCCAATGAGTGGCAGAAAAGAAAAAAGGTTGGACGTTCTTAGCTCTAGGAAACTTTCTTCCACTAGTTAGAACATTCTTCTCTTACACCCCTTTCCTCTGTCCCTTTGGAACTCTTTATTAGTGGACAGTAGGTTTTTTTGACCTGTCATTGGTATCTCTTAATTCCATCTTTTTGGCTTGATCAATTGCCATATTCAAGTGCTTTGCTTCCCTGTTCTCCATTCCAATGTGGCTCTCAGTTTTGTCCTTCAAATTACTGTTTTCAGCAACCTCCATTCCATTTTTTTGCTCTTCTTCTCTCAGAGATATTTGTGATATTTTCACTTCTAAGAACTTTTTCTTGTTTTCAATACCTCTTTTTTTTTTTAAAAAAAATAGCAGTCTGCTCTTGTTGATAGGAAAATGAATAGCATAGGATACAGGTTTCAAAGAGCAACAGCTTTTAAAAAAATTAGGCAATTGAGCTGCAATAAACAATTTAGTGCATATGTCCTTGTGATAAAAGGATTTTTTTTTTCTGCTGGGTGGGTGCCCAGTAACAGGATTGAAGGATCAAATGGGAGGTCTAATTTGAGTTCTTTGAGGATTCTCCACACTTCCTTCCAAAAAGGTTGCATTAGTTTGCAGTCCCACCAACAGTGTAAAAGTGTTCTCCTCTCTCCACATCCACACCAGCATCTGTAACTTTGAGACTTTCTGATGTAGGTATTCTCCATGGGGTTAGGTGATATCTCAGGGTGGTTTTGATTTGCATTGCTCTGACAATCGGGGATCATGAGTCAAAATGTGGAAACAATCTAAATGCCTATTAATCCAGGCATGGATTAACAAGCTGTGACCTGTGTATACCATGGAATACTATTCAGCCATTAAGAAAGATGCAAACTTTACATCTTTTGTATTAACCTGGATAGAACTGAAACACATTCTTCTTAGTATCACAAGAATGCAGGAGCCAGGATCCTATGTACTTAATACTAATATGAAGCCAGTAGATGATCTGATACATGCCCATATAAAAGAACAACTCAAACCAATTCAAGTTGGGGGGTGGAGAACAAGGAAATAGGGAGAAGGGAGAGGAGATGGGTGTGCTCCCACTTAATGGGGACAACATTAGGGATGTATGGCACACCTCTTAGGGGCAGGACATAATTATAAGAGGGATTCTACCTAACAAATGCAACTTTGTAAACTAATTCTTTATACCTTCAAATTACCCTGAGACAATAAATAAAAAGAAAAAAATTAATTTAGTTTCACCAGCTTTATATGGACCAGAAATTTTTCAAAGATCTTCATCTCCCAGTGAGGACTTACCCTTATTTCCGGGTCTAATACTATTCCTATGCATCTATTTCTTCTATTATTGTTTGACTTTTTGGAACTGGATTTCGTAAATCCACCACTTTGAACCAGAAACCCTCATCACATGTATTGTTGCAACACCTATCATTTTATTATGGGTTTGCAGGAAGAGATGCAAAAATGGACTAATCCTATATTCCACCCATACGCATTATTTAGGGATTTGGCTCTCACCTAAATGGCATGGAAACCTACCTTTACACACTGCCGTCTGAACTTTGGCACTCCATTTTCCAGAACTGGAGCATCTCACTTCTTCTTTGACTCCAGATAAAATGAATCCTTGGCGACAACTTAGCTGGCAAATTGTCCCAGGTTTGGATGGCTGCTTGCCACAGTTGGGGGGAGATATGATGACACCTCTGGGCTTCTGAAAGGTAGAGCAGTGGCGCTCTATTGTAAGAAAATGAGGAAATGTTATTCATGTTCCCACAAATGAGAAATGTCACAGATTCTCTTTCCCCTGGAAAATATAACTGTGCTGCCTTGGAACTGACATGACATCGAACATACGACGTATTGTAAATAATGCTAAACCACGTCTCTTTTGGTTGCCTCTCGTTATTTTCCCAGCGTATCTAAACCTTGAAAACCTTCTGTTATTTTCATCAGTGCTAATTATGACCTTCATAATTCGCTTGGAATACCTTCATTTGGTTTTCAGAATATTGTTTTGTGGCTTTGAAGTATGAAGTAGTAAATTGAATTCCATCTTTCATGAAATACAGTGGAACCTCCATAGTTGACTACCTCCCTATAATGACCACTTTCTTAAGTTGACCTAATTTTCATAGACCGAACATGTGCCACATGTATCAATGGAAATTTCTTACCTTGACTATCTCCCTATGTTGACCAGTTTGTTACTTACAGAGGCTCTGATGTATATTCAGCAATCAATCTCTATTTTGGTACTATCTTTAAGCAATAAACATAATGGGAAAAGTATTTTTTTTTTTT